CTAAAGATTAGAGCAGAAATAAATGATACAGAAACTAAAAAAAATAGAACAGATAAATGAAACCAGGAGTTGGTTCTTTGAAAAAACTTTAAAAATTGATAAACCCCAGACTTATCAAAGAGAAAAGAGAAAGCATAATAATATGCTTAATAAATAAAATCACAAATGAGAGAGGAAAAATAGCAACTGACACCACAGAAATATAAACAATTATAAGAGAATATTATGAAAAACTATACACCCACAAATTGGACAACCTGGAAGAAACAGATAAATTCCTAGAAAAATATAAACTACCAAAACTGAAGAGAGAAAAATAGAAAACCTGAACAGTCCAATAACCAGCAAAGAAACTGAGTCAGGGCCAAAAAATCAAAAATCTCCCAATAAGCAAAAGTCCAGGGCCAGACAGCTTTCCAGCGGAATTCTATCAAACACTTAAAAAATAGTTAATATCTATTCTTCTCAAACCACTCCAAGAACTAGAAATGGAAGGAAAACTTCCAAATTCATTCTATGAGGCCAGCACTACACTGATTCCAATACCAGACTAAGACTCCACAAATAAACTTTAGAATAAAGAAAACTATAGGCCAATATCCCTCATGAACATAGATAAAAAAAATTCTCAACAAAATACTAGCAAATCGACAGTACATTAAAAGAATCATTCACTATGATCAAGTGCAATTTATTCCTGTGCTCCAAAGGCAGTTCAATATTTGCTAATCAATCAACATGATACACCACATTAATAAAAGAAGGGTAAGAATCCTTTCAATAGATGCAGAAAAGGCATTTGACAAAGTACAACATGATAAAAACCCTCAACAAAATAGGATAGAGGGAACATACTTCAACATAATAAAGGCCATATACGAAAAACCCAAGCTAATATCTTCCTTAATGGGGAAAAACAGAGCTTTTCTTCTATGGTTAGGGACAAGACAGGGATGTCCACTCTCACCACTGCTACTCAACATAGTACTGGAAGTCCTAGTTTCAGCAGACAGCAAAAAGAAATAAAAGCCATCCAAATCAGCAAGGAGGAAGTCAAACTTTCACTATTTGCAGATGACATGATACTATATATATATATAGAAAACCCAAAAGATTCCACCAAAAAATTGCTAGAAATGATACATGAATAGAAAATCAACAAAAAGAAATCTGTTGCATTTCTATACACCAATAATGAAGCAGCAGAAAGAGAAATCAAGGAATTGATCCCATTTACAATATCACCAAAAACCATAAGATACCTAGGAATAAACATAAACAAAGAGGTAAAAGATCTGTACTCTGAAAACTATGCAACACTTATGAAAGCAATTGAAGATGACACAAAGAAATGGAAAAACATTCCATGCTCATGGATTGGAAGAACAAATATTGTTAAAATATCTTTATTATCCAAAGCAACCTACACATTTAATGCAATCCCTATCAAAATACCAACAGCATTTTTCAGAGTTACAACAAAGAACCCTCAAATTTGTATGGAACCACAAAAGACCCCAAATAGCCAAAGCAATCTTGAAAAAGAAAAGCAAGCTGGAGCATTACAACTGCAGTATTCAAGTTATATTACAAAGCTGTAGTGATCAAGACAACATGAAAATGACACAAAAACAGACACATAAATCAATAGAACATAATAGAAAACCCAGAAATGAACCCACAACTATGTGGTCAAGTAATCTTCAACAAAGCAGGAAAGAATACCCAATGGAAAAAAGACAGTATCTTTAACAAATGGTACTGGGGAAACTGGATAGCAGTATGCAAAAGAATGAAGCTGGACCACTTTCTTAAAACATAAAGAAAAATAAATTCAAAATGGATTAAAGACCTAACTGTGAGACAGGAAACCATTAAAATCCTAGAGGAGAAGAGAGTCAGTAACCTTGACACTGGCTGTAGATATGTCTCCTGAGGCAAGGGAAACAAAAGCAAAAATAAACTACTGAGACTTCCTCAAAATAAAAA